CTAGTTTCCTTATTGTTTTAAAGTAAAATGCTAGTGGGTTTCTTTGGCGTTTTTCCCTCTGCGAGAATGTTAAATTTAATTACAATAGGGTCACTATAAGTGAGTGGTTCAGCTATATTCACCTCTTGGACCAGATGCTGTGCTCCACTTAAGTCTAAACTTCTTTTTGAGCAATAGCATATCTTTTAGTATGATCTGCAGTCTTGATTTAAAGACTTCAGCTGATAGAGAATCCACCATGTCCATCACCTTAAATTGTTCCAGTGGCGAGTTACTTTCTTTAAAATGTGTGCCTTTATTTCTAAAGTCTGAATTTGTCTAGCTTCAGCTTCCAAATTATGCATTGATTATGAACCATGCTAATGCTAGATTAAAGAACCATCTGCTATCAGAAATCTCCTCTCTATGAAAGTGCTTGTATAACATGATCAACTGACTTTTTAACCTTCCCTTGGATAAACTAAATAGATTGAGCTTAAGTCTCCCACTATGAGACATGTTTACCAGACCTCAAATCATTCTTTTAGCTCTATTTTGAACCTTTATCCAAATTTTCGGTCCTTTTTGAAGTGTGAACACCAGAACTGGACACAGTATTCAAGTAATGGTCTCACTAATGCTATATTTGGAAATAATACTCCTGGGGGAATTCTGCGCCAAAAAAATTTAAAATTCTGCACACAGTATTTTAAAATTCTGCATATTTTATTTGTCAAAATAACACAATATAATCACACCAGTTTCAATTATTTTTGGTCATTTATTTCAAAATACCTGTCAGTAAGTATGTCTGTAATGACACAGACAACAAAAAAGATTCAGGAAATATTTTTTGACAAATAGATTCCTTACTAGGCATAGAAAACAGAACTCTTGAGTAACTGATTTAAACTACAATATACTACAGAACTGTATTTCCCGCACCCTTCAGAAGCAGTGCAAAGGCTTGGAGGAGTCGGGGGTAACGGAGGAGCTGAGGGAGAGGGAAGTAAATTGCTGGGAAGGAGCCTGGGTGTGAACTTGGAGGATTGTTGGGTATGGGTGGGAAAAGTATGGAACAAGGTTTTTTTGGGGGGGAGAGACGGATTGTTAGGAAGCTTCCCCCCGCAGATGCTGGTGGACCCCTAGCCCATTCAGTCAGCACATTTGTCCCTGTCCCCATGTGTTCCTGCACTCCCATGTGTCCTTGCACCTGCTATCCACATGTCCCTCCATCCCCACTCAGACACCCATTCCCATGTGGTCCTGCACTCCTCTCCCCTGTCCCTATGTGGCTGTGTACCCCCTCCCCCATTCCCATGTTTCTGTGCCCCCACTCAGCCACTCCCCTCCCCCATCCCCATGTTTCTCTGTACCCCCACCCAGCCACTCCCCTGTCCCTAGGTGTCCCCGTGCCCCCTTGCCCTGTCCCCATGTGTCTTTGCCCCCACTCAAACACTCTCTGTCCCTGTGTAGCTCTGCACGCCTCCCCCATCACCATGTGGCCCTTGCCTCCACTCCCATTCAGCCCCTGCTCTAGTCCTCCTCCACTAGCCCTTATGAGCCTCTGTCTGACCCTCCCCCCAGCACTCCATGCTGTCTGTCTCCCCATAGCCGCTTTCTCTTGACCTGGCCCACTGTGAAGAAGGCAGGCCTCTTTCTCTTCCCTCGCGGACTGGGAGCTGCTGCTTTGTTCTATTGCTACAGTGCCCTCTGGTGGGCAAAAGGGGGAACTGCAGCAACATTTCAGCAGAAGCTTTTTTCTGCATAAAAAAAATAAAAATATTCAAGGCACATTAATTATGCACGCACGCAGTAGCACAGAATTCCCCCAGGTGTAGAATACTGCCTCCCTACTCCTACTTGGTATTTCCCTGCTTATATATCAGAGGATCATATTTGGCCTCTTAGCTGGGAAGTGAGGGGAATATGAACAACAAAAGCAAGAAATCAAAGTTACACTTTGTGTGTTTAATATTTTTTAAATATTACAATGAAATACAGGAGAAAACTAACCTTCTTCGAGTGATTGCACATGTCCATTCCGATTTAAGTGTGTGAGCGCCCCAAGCACAGCTGTTGGAGATTTTTCCCCTAGTGGTATCCGTAGGCTCAGCACTAGCACCCCCTGGTGTTGCACACTCATAGTGCCAGTGTAAGGGGCACCCGCCGAGCCCACACACCTCAGTTCCTTCTTCCCCCCTTTGCCTTGAGCAAAGTGCTTTTAGTGGTTTCCACTGTTCCTTCATTGTAAATAGTTAGTTTCATAGTGTAGTAGTTCTAGCAGTTTAGTTTAGGACTGTGATTCCTCTCCATATTCGGAGAGGTGGTGCATCCCTCCCCTGGTACCGGGGCGCCGGGGTTTAAACTCTTCGTGCGGCAAGCCTATGCCTACTAGTGACCCTCACTTGAGTTGTCTCAAGTGTTTGGGAGAGGGTCATAGAAAAGAGCACTGCAACATCTGCCGGGAATTTAAGCCCTGTACGCAGGACAGCAGCAAGGCTGAAAGTCCTACTTATGGAGGTGGCACTGAGACCCACCTCGGAGCCAAGATTGGACTCAGCGCCGAGTACTTCGGCATCAGTGCAAAGTGCACTGCCAGCAGCTAGGGGCTCTCAGCACCGGTCCTCCTCACCAGTGCCGAAGAAGAAGCAGCGCCAGGGCCACCGGGTGAAGACTTGCTGGCCAGCACTGAAGGCAGACAAGCGAGCACAGCGGGATAGAGCGAGACCTATGCCTGGCCATTCTCCCTCCTCGGCACCATGAAAACAGCTGGCAGAGACACCAGTGCTGGCACCACAAACCCCACCACTTGACTAACCTACGGCTCTGCACCGGGCGGACCAGTTTGCAATGCCATTGACGCCGGAAGTCTACGCCACCGCGAAGGAGGTAATGACTGTCGGTGCTGAGTCCGGCTGGGACACAGGAGGCGGCACCAGCAACGCCACCCAGCGGCACCAAGGCATTGACCGCTTTTAAGCTGGTTTCAAGACCAGTCTCTAGGGGAAATCTTCCCCTCAACCCCCCCCCCCCTTCCCCTTCATTGCCTCATCAGAAATGTCTCCATAGCACCAATTGCTGACTCCAGGAGGATAGGCCCCACCGTGGTCACCTAGGTCATCGTCCTCAGCATCTTTGTTAAGCTCTGACTCGGGATCCGATTATTTGAGACATTGGCACCAAAGGGAAGTTCCACGCCAGTCCCCACAGACAATGCTGCCATTGGGAGCGCCAGAAGCAGGAATGACCCAAGGGACCTGGCCTATGGACCCGTGGGGTCCAGTGCCCCTGCAGTGGCCTTTTTGGAACCCCTGGGGGCTTCCCCCAGGCCAAGGGATCGGCTCACACTGCTCCTACTCGGCGTGCTCAGAGACTGTAGTGGCACCAGTGGTGCACAGAGATACCCCAGAGCCGACCCCTGGGACCAGTGCAAGAGCAGATCCCAGTACCGTTGCTGGTGCCAATACCAGTACCCAAGTCTGTGAACCTAGGGAAGAGGCGGCAGGGGATGCTATGGCAGCGCATGTCTCTTCCTCAACATCTCCAGAGGACGAGCTCATGCTCAAAGAGTCTTTCCCACCGCAGGACGACTTAAGGGCCCACCAAGACTTGTTAAAGAGGGTGGCCTTTAATCTTGGATTGCAGGCAGAGGTCATCAAGGAACCTTCAGGCAGGTTCTTGGACATTGTCAGCCGCAGCCCCTGCTAAGGTGGCCCTGCCCCTATACAATGTCATTTTGGGATCAATTAAGGCCAGACTCCTGCCTCTCTACATATACAATTTTCTTTAAAGATAAGGTACAGCTGGGGCCGCACCTGAAATTCCTCCCAAAGGTCGTGTCCCAATTCCACTACAGCCAGCCTATATTTCTACCGGTCTTCTACCCTAAGCCTCATGTGAATAGGGAAAAGGAACGACTGCACTTCCTGGATGTCAGACATGGTCTGGCGTTTTATATTGAAAGAATCAAAGTTTCACAGGTCGCCCCATCTCTTTGTGGCTATGGGTGACAGAACGAAAGGGCTTCCGGTCTCCTCCCAGAGGATCTCATCTGGGATCACATCCTGTATAGGAACATGCTACGACCTCACAGGCGCTCCCCCTCCATCTAATTTAACAGCCCACTTCACAAGGTCCCAAGCCTCTTCAGCACCCTTCTTAGTGCAGGTTCCAATCCAGGACATATACAGAGCAGCAACATGGTCCTCGGTGCATACCTTTTATAACACACTATGCCATCATGCAGCAGGCGAGAGACTGTGCCCTCTTTGGATGAGCAGTCCTACAGATAGCTTGGACTTAATCTCTGAGCCCACCTCCAGATCTACTGCTCGTTAGTCACTTAAATCGGAATGGACATGTGCAATCACTCGAAGAAAAAAGTTACCTTACCTTTCATAACTGTGGTTCTTCGAGATGTGTTGCACGTGTCCATTCCAAGGCCTGCCCGCCAGCCCCTCTCTGAGAGGTAGGTAAGAAGAAACTGAGGAGCGTGGGCTCGGCAGGAGCCCCTTATACCAGTGCTATGAGCATGCGACACCAGTGGGCGCCCGCTCCAAGCCTACGAATACCACTAGGGGAAAAATCTCAGACATCTGTGCTCAGGGCACTCACATACTAAATCGGAATGGACATATGTAACACATCTCTAAGAACAACAGTTACGAAAGGTAGGTAACCATTTTTTTCATAACTTTACAGAATAAAATGGGGGATGAGGTTTGGCTTGAGGCATAGGTGTTATTCACCTTAGTTGGTAGTTTTACTACTTAGGGTAGCAGATAGTTCAGCAAATTTTCCAAGCCTTAACTGTATAGGACAGTCCATAGTACTCCTAACCTTGTACTGATTTGTTCACCGGTTCTTCTGCTAACGGAATTTCCTTGACAGAAAGGAACTTACATAAGGATAACATCTCTTCGATGTAACAGAAAGACAAGAGGCTTTTACACCAAGAGCTGTTATCTATATGCAAGTTATGTAAGACTAAACTTGTCCTGTGGGTTTGTATCTTCTAGGGGGCCAAGAGCAAAGCCAGTCTGCCCAACTTCCTGGATCATATAATTGCTTCTGTGGTGGAGAATAAGAAGACATCTGATGCTGCAAAACGAGCAAGTAACTTGGCTGATACACAGAGAGAGGTGAAGGAAATGGTAATGGGATTAAATGTGCTGGATCCACACACCTCACATTCCTGGCTCTGTGATGGAAGGCTCTTGTGTCTTCATGACCCCAGCAACAAAAACAACTGGAAGATCTTCAGGGAGTGTTGGAAACAGGGCCAGGTAAGAGAAAATAAATAGGCAGGTTTTCTCATTGGAGACCCTGGTGCAGGTATTTTGAAAGTAGTATTGCACTTATAGCCTGTGGGCTACTTTAAGCTCTTCTACTCCTGCTCTTGAAGATCAATGAGTGTGAGCAATTTTGTGTGAAGTATGAGGGAGGGTATAAAATAGAGTTGAATTTTGTGGTATTCCATATGACTTTGAGAGGAATGTTTCTTAACATATAGAAACAGATGCCATTAGGTTACAAGTGTAGATTTATCTAGTTACATATACATTGCTTCCTCAGATCCATTTGGGATGGGGAAGATGTGGAATCAGACTAACCTCCAAGGACAGCTGCACATTGTCTGAAACGGAAATTTGATTTGCTGACTTTGCCTCTTAATAGCTTTTTTTGCTTGATGTGCAAGGATTGGATTTATATGTAAAAGGAAGCTGATTTCAGGTGCCTTTCTTCTATGTGGTGTTGGCCAAGAATATCCCAGCTCTTGAGAATGAGAGCGATTTGGCTGAATGTGCAATAGATTTGGCAAATTGTGGAATGAGCACCTGCCTTTCTTTCCCCAGCCTGTGCTGGTCTCTGGAGTCCATAAGAAGCTGAAATCAGAGCTCTGGAAACCAGAGGCCTTCAGCCTAGAATTTGGAGACCAGGATGTTGATCTGGTGAACTGCAGGAACTGCGCCATAATTTCAGATGTGAAAGTGCGTGACTTCTGGGATGGCTTTGAAATCATTTCCAGTAAGTGCAGGCCGATGGCAGAGTAGCACATTTCATTATCTTACTTCCCTCTCCCATCCTCTTCTTCTTCGCCCCCCCCCCCCCCAAAGGTAGATATTGTGTTCTAACTGATGCCCCTCTTGCTGTAAAGTCCATGCCATTCCTTAAATAACTGTGGGGCTTGCTACAGAGTGGATGATGGAATGGTGGAGAATAAGGTTAGGCCAAGCTGCACTAACTATCCAACTATTTCAAACAGCAGATAACTCAGGTTTACGGCAGTGTGTATTGATGCACCTATCAAAGAGGATCAGTGCTCTAAGGTTCCTGCTTAGAGACCATGGGGGATGTCTTTCAATTTTCTCTCCTACTGCTTTTTGTTTTTACCTCTTCTCCTGTGCTGTTATAATTGCTTCTGTGGGAAAGCTAAGTTGAAACTAGTTTTACACTTCACATTGATGATAAATCTCACTGCCTCCATTTTTGTCTTCCCTGGAAATAAGTTCCCAAAATGTTGGCTCTGCCGCTATCTCCCACACTTCATCCTTGAGTCTGGCTATTTCAGAGCTCTGGAGGAATGTATGTAGTGGTCCTCCACCAATATGCCTTGACAAGTGTTTTGAAGTGGCTCTCTGCTAGTTTCTTGAATACCTCCTTCAGATTGGGAGGTTTGGCAACGGGAAGGAATTTTCAGTGTAATCTGGATCCAGAGATGATTTCTTGGGCAAACTATGGTATGTTGGGAGCAAACTGTAGAGAGGGAATCGTATTGTCAGAAGAGGTGGAAGGTGCTCCCAGACATCTTTTACCTGCCAAAATGGGCATGCATTCACATCACAAGTCTGACTCAGTGTCCTTCAGCAATTCTAAAATGTCCTGCTCTATGAATATGCTCTATTCTGTGAAACGGGGAGGTATGCGTTCCACCTGGTGTTCAGCATATTGGTTGCTACCTTTGAGTAAGAGCATCACCCAGATGTATGATTGTCTAAGAAGCACATTACTCGTTCCTTGCATTGGGCAGAAAGGGTTTTGGCGTGGTTTGGAAGCAGTCCAAGTTGGCAAAAGTGATATAGCGTGGGATTTTCAAAGTCACTCAACATTGACCTAAATCTGCTGCTGTTGAAGTCAATGATAAAACTCTGACCTCAGTGGAAGTAGAATAAGGGTGAATGATTAAGAAAACTCCACCTTTCAGACCCAGAAAAGTTCTGCAGGGTGAGATTTAGCAGGTTAGAGGGATTCCTCAGCCTCTGTTTTGGGTGTGTGGTGTGTCTCCCCCTCATCTTTTTGATTAGTCAAAACTTGGTTTTTGTTTTGTTTGAATATTCTAGTAGTGCCTAAGAGCCCAAACTGAGGTCAGGGTCCATTGTATGCTGGGCAGTATACAAAGTCTCTGCCTGAAGGAGTTGACAATCTAAATAAATAAGACAAAGGGCAGAGGGAAAGGATGTAACATGCTGAGTAAAATTTCTCTCTTGCAAGAGCGTCTGAGATCAGATGATGGGCAGCCAATGGTGCTGAAACTAAAGGACTGGCCTCCAGGGGAGGATTTTAGAGACATGATGCCTACGAGGTAAGTCAGCTGAACAGCAGCACCTATAGGATCCTGTATTACACTTGTGCTTATTCAGCAATATAGTTTTGTTGGTGCTGTCGTCCTACTCCTGTACTCTCTGCTGTTCCTCTTTAGGTTTGAGGATTTGATGGAGAACCTCCCTCTCCCAGAGTATACCAAGAGGGATGGCAGACTGAATCTGGCCTCTAGATTGCCGAGTTACTTTGTACGGCCTGATCTGGGTCCCAAAATGTACAATGCATATGGTATGTGTGAAAAGGTCTGGAGATGGCCGCTTTTTTTTTTTTAAACTATTCTTTACCACACTGTCTCTATCCTTTGATCTGTGTTCAGTGAACAATTGGAACATACAGAAGCTAGTGCAATGAACTGTCCTACAATGCATTAGCTTATATCATAGTGTTGATCTCATAAGTACTAGTGTCTTTAAATTTGCTTATTTTCTTTCTCCATAAGATGCCATGTATATATTTGGCTCCTACTGTGCATAGTGATAGCTCTTTAGAAATGTGTGTAAATTTATAGTGCTGCAAAAACAACTAATACTAATATACACAAGAATAATATGTAGCTTTAAGGATCAGAGGGGTAGCAGTGTTAGTCTGTATCCACAAAAACAACGAGGAGTGCAGTGGCACCTTAAAGACTAACAGCTTTATTTGGGCATCAGCTTTCGTGGGTAAAAAACCCACTTCTTCAGATGCATCCCACGAAAGCTGATGCCCAGATAAATCTGTTAGTCTTTAAGGTGCCACCGGACTCCACATTGATATGTAGCTTTATATTCCATGACTGTTAATGCACTAGGAGGATTTGATGACCTCAGTATTGAGAATTTAAGATACTTGTCTTGCAACCCCCTAAGGATACCTTTACTCACAGGGAATAGCCCCATTGATTTAAATGGAACTACTTATGTGCTTAAAATTTAGCATGTATATAAGTGTTTCCAGTATAGGGGCTAGAACTGTGTATTTAGCGAACTTTTTTCTTAATGACATAAAATCATTGTCTCCCCAAAATGTCTTCAATGTTAACAATGAAAAGTTATTTAGGCCTTCAATACATTAAAGAAGTTGTTGTAAACTTTTTTGTACAGTGTCCAAAAATTTCAAAAATAGCATAAAGTTAGGCTCCTGATCTAATATTTAGACAGAGAAGGGAGGGATTTTCAAAGCCACCTATTTCAGAGTAGCAGCCGTGTTAGTCTGTATCCACAAAAACAACGAGGAGTGCAGTGGCACCTTAAAGACTAACAGATTTATTTGGGCATCAGCTTTCGTGGGC